AGAGTACACTTATCATAATGATAAATAAATGAAAAATATATACACAATTTATTGACACACAAGAAAATAAATATTTTGTATTGAAAAGCTGGAGGTTTAGAGGTATAACCATTGCAAAGGTTGTGATTAACCTGTCCCCAAATTAGTTAAATATACAGTTTTATTTTTTGAAGCAGTACAGAATGTATATGCATATTTGTTTGTTTCCTTGTTTATATTTTAGAGACAGCAAGAGAGAGTGGGACAGAGGAGGGGAAGGAGAGAGAGAAACGTTCATATGCAGGCTCCATGCTCAGCACAGAGCCTGCATGATGCGGGGCTCAATCTTGGGACCCTGGGATCATGACCTGAGTTGAAATCAAGAGTCTGATGCTCATTTGACTGAACCACGCAGATATCCCCATGCTTTTTTTTAAATTTAAATTTAAGTTTTTAGTTATTATTTTTTTTAATATTTATATTTGAGAGGGAGAGAAAGAGACAGAGTGCAAGTGGGGGAGGGGCAGAGAGAGGGAGACACAGAATCCGAGGCAGGCTCCAGGCTCTGAGCTGGCAGCACAGAGCCCAACATAGGACTCTAACGCACAAACATGTGAGATCATGACCTGAGCCGAAGTTGGATGCTTAATTGACTGCCCCCATGCACATTTAAATTAAAATAAGTTCTTTCATAATTTTCTGATTGTAAATTTTTAGGTATCGTGATGAAGCTGGAGGCTTTTGTGGTTGACCTTTAAGGTTGGTTGGTTGTTTATAGGCTTGGCTGCTGTCCTAAATTGGCTTGTTTTGCTACTGACCTGATGCTAATCAATGTACACATATTTAAATCTTGCAGCAATCCTGTTAAATAAGGATTGTGAGCCTCAGAATACAGATACTGATATTACAGTGTAAGAGAGTAAATAATTTTCCAAATTTCACCAGCACTAGGATCCAAAATGAGACTCAGTGGTTAATGATCTTAAGCTTAGTGGCCAGTCAACAGGCTTTGAGTGGCTTAATTTAAAGGCCAGTGTGTACCCTCTGACTCTGGTCTGCATTTGGCATTATTTTGCACTTCCATATTGAGCTCCAATAAAAATTTCTAGTCTCATTGCTCACTCGTGTTCTACTTATACACTATTATCTTTGCCTTTGCTGGACTATGTCTTCACTCATGCTCTTCCTGTGGCCTGAACTGGAACTTACATTAACAATCTATTTTTTTTCAAGAACTTTTCTTTCTTTCTTTCTTTCTTTCTTTCTTTCTTTCTTTCTTTCTTTCTTTCTTTCTTTCTTTCTTTTTTCTTTCTTTCTTTCTTTCCTCTCTTCTTTCTTTCTTTCTTTCCTCTCTTCTTTCTTACTTTCCTCCTTCTTTCCTTCCTTCCTTTCTTCCTTTCTCTCTCTTTCCTCTTTCCCTCCCTTCTTTCTTTCTTTCTTTTCTTTATTTTTCTTTCTCTTTCTCTTTCTTTCTTTCTTTCTTTCTTTCCTCCTTCCTTCTTTTCTTCCTTCCTTTCTCTGTCTCTCTTTCCTCTCTCCCTTTTTTCTTTCTTTCTTTCTTTCTCTCTCTCTCTCTCTCTCTCTCTCTCTCTCAGAGAGCATGTGCATTTGTGTGGGGGAGGGGTAGAGGAAGAGGGAGAGAGAGGATCTTAAGCAGGCTCCATGCTCAGCTCTAAGTTCCACACGGGGCTTGATTCCATGACTGTGAGATCATGACCTGATCTGACATCAAGAGTTGGATGGCTCAACCAACTAACCCATCCAAGGGACCCAGTAATCTATTTTGTACAATTACTTAAAATAAGACCATGTATTGCCAGGTCCAGAGAAAATGGTTTCACCCAGCAATGTGATAGTCTTCGTCTCACACAATGTTTCAATTAATGCTTGTTTTTAAGCCCTAAAGCTTCATTCTGAACCTTCAGAGGAAATCAGGGCCTTGAAATCCTGAGACATTCCAAGTTTCTGAAGAGAAAATCCCTTTCTCCAACAAAAGCAGTTAAATTCAAGACCCTCTTCACCTTTAAGTGACCCTGTAATTCTCATTTGGTTTATTTTCTCCTATTCTTTGCCCTTGTAGGTTTTTACCACCACTACTACTGCCCCTCTTAGATTCTCTTTCAGTGGGGTTTGTAGGAGAGGAATGGATGTGGATACTCAATTTGTCATATTTTAAAAAAAAATTTTTTTTTCAACGTTTATTTATTTTTGGGACAGAGAGAGACAGAGCATGAACGGGGGAGGGTCAGAGAGAGAGGGAGACACAGAATCGGAAACAGGCTCCAGGCTCTGAGCCATCAGCCCAGAGCCTGACGCGGGGCTCGAACTCACGGACCGCGAGATCGTGACCTGGCTGAAGTCGGACGCTTAACCGACTGCGCCACCCAGGCGCCCCAATTTGTCATATTTTATTGGAGGTCTAAAATCTTCCCCTTCCTTCCTTCCTTCCTTCCTTCCTTCCTTCCTTCCTTCCTTCCTTCCCTCCTTGTAGCCTTCTGTTTCTGTGTCTGTCTCTTTCTAAATAGGAAGATTATCAGCTTAGTGCAAAAATTATAGATTTCAGAGTCAGATTCCCTACCTTATTCCAGTCATGACACACAGAGAAAATGATACTATTTGTAGAGTATTCTGGGGTAAGGAACAGAAGTGGAGCAAACCGACTCTGAGAGAGCCCTCCACTTTGAGGCCATGGTGATCAGTGTCAAGGGCATTCAAGCCCTGAAATGTGCAGGGGCTGCCAAACTCTGAGCATCAACAAGGTCTGAATCCTATTTTGCTTGCCCTCAAGCAAGTTACTTTATCTCTAGTCTCCATTTGTAAACATGGGGATAATAGTTCCAACTTCTTAGCACTTCTTTGAGAATCATAGGCACTAACGTATTTGAAAGGGGAGCACCACATGTATACATAGTAGGTGCCAATAATGTCTGCTTCCCTCCTTCAAATCTCCCCCAACAAACCATATCTTGCAGGGTAGGTGCTCACACATTTCTTAAGCAAATAAGGGAACTGGACATCATTGTAATACAATAGGGGATAATTTGGAGTGAAGGGATCTTGTATACCAGGGAGCATCATTAAGCAACTGGGCAGAGGAAAGGAGGAGACTAGGAAGTGAAATGGCTTTATCTCTGAGTTCAAGTGGTAGCCAGTGACTCTTGGCATTGGAAATCATTTGATGCGAAACCTTTGGAAGGAATAAAGTAGGCTGCAGGTGTCAGGGAAAAGTCCAGTGCCTTGTTTCTCAGTTGAAAGGGAATAACTGAAGTGGTTATTTAACTTTTCTAAGTTGTGCATTAGATTTATCTCCGTTCTGTTTAGCCTTTATCTCCTCATTATTCTGTTGCTACAGAGTAAACTGGCAACAGCTTCTCAAGTTTACTATCCTTCCCAGGGGCAGGGGACATTCCGCTATTTCTCACCTCTGATTTGGGGATACACAATTTTACAAATAAAATGGCAAATGCTAAGGCAAACAAGATCGCATCTGAATTTCACTAGGGTGTAAAAAAACAGCGAAAGCGCTTTTAGAATGTTAAACCCAGATAATAATTTATAGGGCCTTTGTGTTTTCATTTTCCCCAGCTTCCTCTTTCTCCCTTTTGTTTGATTCACGTCTTTACCTAGCTCCTCCTTTTGGCTTTCTTGTTTTCTCATCAAAAAAAAAAAA